ATGGCCAGTACCAGTCCGTTTCAGCTCACTAATGCCTAAGATATTGATGTTTATGTGTTCCATTTCATTTTTGACAACTTCCAATTTTCCCAGATTTATACTTCATACATTCCATGTTCCGATTTTCAATGGATGTTTACAGCTGTTTCTCTTCATTTTGAGTTGTGCCCCATCAGCAAATGAAGGTCCCGCAGGCGTTTCTCCCACGGGCTTTACTCCGTTTGCATCATCACTGTCAACTCTACTTTGAGGAGGCAGCTCTTCCCCAGTCTCACTTTGAGTGCTTTCCAACGCTGAGGGGCTCATTTTCCGGCACTGTATCTGACAGTATTTCTCTGCTATTCATAAGGTTTTCAGTGACTAAATATTCAGAAGTAGTTCGTCACTCCTTCTTCCTAGTCTGTCTTCTTCTGGAAGCTCATCTGAAACCTGTCCACTATGAGTGGTCCTGCTTGTATTTAAAATACTGGTGGCATAGTTTTCAGAATCACAGCAACTCACAAGCCACCACAGTATGACAAACTGACAGATGAGTGGTGGAGAAGTGAGGAGAGGAGGTTGAAATTACATTGTGGAAGAGGGATAGCTGAATGAAGGGAGCTGGTAACATGTGAATGGATACAGGCTGAGGAGGAGAGGGGTGCGTCAATTCTGACTCAAAGATGTGAGTCCAGGTGCTGGGGGACTATCACAGGGCTGTAGCCAAACACAGAGAAGTTCAGAATGAATACCTTTTGAGAAGTCTCAGTCAGAGCATAGTGAAGTCAGTCTATGTTATAGCAAAAGTTCTAGAAGGCTGAAAATGGGCTTTTCTTTGTCTTCAGCATCCAATCTCCCAGGGCATTGGGCACATGATATTAATGGTAGCCAGAGAGCCAGTAAATTGCTAAAAGAAGAGCAGCTAAGCCAGGGACAGCTAATTCAGGGACTTGTTTCCATATCTGAAGGCTAGAATGAGACTGTTCATTTATTTATAAAAATCATATACCAGGGTGAATCTGGTGATACGCTGAACTGAACGGAGCAAATAAACTTGGCCAGACCCCAAGAGGAGTTGGACAGAGGCAGGAAACCATGCACCTCAGGGAGTGTGTCAGGAAGAAGAGGGTGGAAGGTCAAAGAAGCAGGGAGGAAGAGAGAAAAAGACAGAAAGAGTATGGAGTCTCATTTAATCCTCATACTGGTGTTGTGGATTCTATTTTACCAACGTGGAAACCGAAGCTCAAAGAGGCTAAGTTAGTTTCTCAAGTTTGCACAGCTAGTAAGGGGTGGGCAGAATTGGACTGACGCTACAACCCTGCTCTTTTATCTGCCCTGGGCTGCCCTGATTCAGGGCTGAAGGTGGCCCTCACGGACCTCCAAAGCTTCCGGAACAACATGCAGCACCACACTGAGGAGATCAGTGTGGACCGACTCATTGTTCGCCGAGGCCAGCCCTTCAACATCACCCTGTACTTCCGAAACCGGAGCTTCCAACCAGACCTGGACAACATCATCTTTGTGACTGAGACTGGTGAGGATGCCAGCTGATCCACAGGCTGTATGTGTGTGTGTGTTGGGGATGTAGTGGGCACCTGGGGACTGACAGATCACTACAGAGGGCCTTAGCTCCTCATCTCTACAGGCCCTCTGCCAGACCTGGCCAAGGGGACTCGAGCCGTGTTCAGTCTGGCACGTCATGGTGGCCCCAGTCCCTGGATCGCCTCGCTGGAGTCCAATGGGGCCACTTCTCTGGAGGTGAGCCTCTGCGCCCCTCCTATGGCAGCGGTGGGTCGGTACCTTCTGAAGATTCACATTGACTCCTTTCAGGGCTCTGTCACAGCCTACCACATTGGCGAGTTCATCCTGCTCTTCAACCCCTGGTGTCCAGGTAAGACAGGCGCCTATGGGAGGTGAGGTTGAGGGTGGCTGGGTGGGTAGGGGAATCCCTCTGTCTCTGTCTGACAGTGCTGCCACAGAAAGCTGAGCTCAAAGATTTCTAGACCTCTGCTCCCTGGCCATCCATAGATCTCCCTCTAATACCATGGACTCAGCAAGATAAACCTCCAAACGCAAACAAACAAGCCCTTGCAATTTGAATTGTTTAGAATTTTAAAATTATAAGCCAAGTCTCTTCACTTAAAAATAAAATTATTCCAATTAAGTCTGACCACTGTTACCATTTGATTTTCATCATATATATTTTTAAGGTAACAAGGTTTTCATTATAAAAGTGATATAAGCACAGTGGTGCATTGAATATTTGTTGAATGAATGTTTGCATAAATAAAGGGTAAAACAACAACAATAGGTAAAAGGTAAAAAATAGATCCTCCCTGTCTCTCAGTTCTGTTATCCAGAAGAAACCAATATTAACATTTCTGATGTAGGTTTACAAAAATTTTCTTTCATTGATCAAATAAGCACATGAGATTCTATAATACAATTGGCCCTGCGTATCTGCTGGTTCCATATTGGTAGTTTTGACCAAAATCAAATAAAAATTATATGAGGGGAGGGAGGGCATTCCAGAAAGTTTCAAAAAAGCAAAACTTGAATCCATGTGAACCCATGATGGATTCCCACCATTTCACAGATGCTCAGTCTCTTTCTCTGCTATTCATAAGGTTTTCAGTGACAAAATGTTTGGAAGTAGTTCATCTCTCCTTCTTCCTAATCTGACTTTGTCTGGAAGCTCATCTGAAATGTGTCCACCATGGGTGACCTGCTGGTTTTTAAAATACCTATGGCATAGCTTCCAGAGTCACAGTGACTCACAAATCACCACAGTATGACAAACTGACAGATGAATGTACCAAAAGGAAATGGTTGATGTTCAACCATTTCAAGAGGTAGCATATGATCAAGAGCCAATGATACTGAAGGAAGATGTCCAGGGTGCATTGAAGGCATTGGCAAAGACCAAGGGCACCAGGAATTGCTGGAATGAAAATGGGAATCGTTCAAGAAAGTGAGGTGGCACTGAAGACACACGCTCATCTATGCCAAGAAATTTGATCTGGCCAAATCTCTAGAAGAGAGCCGTAATTGTCACCATTCCAAAGAGAAGGTGACCCAACAGAATGCGGAAATCATCAGACTATATCTTTGATATCCCATGCAAGTAATGTTTTACTAAAGGTAATACAGAAATGCTGCAAGCATACATTGACAGAGAACTTCCAGAGGTTCAAACTGGATTCATAAGAGAACGTAGAATGAGGGATATCATTGCTGATGTCTGATGGATCTTGGCTGAAAGCAGAGAATGCCAGAAAGATATTTACCTGTGCTTTATTGACTACACAAAGGCTTTAGATTGTGTGGATCATGACAAGCTATGGACAACATTGTTAAATGTGTGTGTATTCCTGAACACTTAATTGTGCTCATGAGGAATCTGTACCTGGACCAAGAGGCAGTTGTTCGAACAGAACATGGGAACACTGAATGGTATAAAATTAAGAAAGGTGTGTAGCAGAGTTGTATTCTTTCACCATACTTATTCAATCTATATGCTGAGCAAATAATCCAAGAAGCTGGGTTATATGAAGAAAAATATCAGGATTGAAGAAGACTCATTAACAACCTGAGATATGCAGATGATACAACCTTGCTTGCTGAAAGTGAAGAGGACTTAAAACACTTACTGATGAAGATCAAAGACCATAGCCTTTGGTATGGATTGCATCACAATGTAAAGAAAACAAAAATCCTCACCACTGGACCAATAAACAACATTCTATCAACAGAGAAAGGACTGAAGTTGTCAAGGACTTCATTCTTCTTGGATCAATCATCAACACTCATGGAAGTAGCAGTCGAGAAATCAAACGACATATTGCATTAGGCAAATCGGCTGTACAAGACCTTTTTAAAGTGTTGAAGAGCAAAGATGTCAGCTTGAGAACTAAGGTGTGCCTGACCCAAGCCATGGTATTTTCAATAACCTCATTATGCATGTGAAAGCTGGACAGTGAATAAGGAAGACTGTAGAAGAATTGATGCATTTGAGTTATGGTGTTGGAGTAGAATATTGAAAGTGCCATGGGTTGCCAAAAACAAAACAAAACTGATCTGTGTTGGAAGAAGTGCAGCCAGAGTGCTCCTTGGAGGCCAGGATGGTCAAACTTCATTTCATACTTCAGACATATTGTCAGGAGGGACCAGTCTCTGGAGAAGGATGTCGTGTTTGGTAAGGTGGAGGGTCAGAGAACAAAAGGAAGACTTCGAGGGACATGGACTGGCAAAGTGGCAGCATCAATGGGCTCAAGCGTGGCAACAATTGTGAGGTTGGCCCAGGACTGGGCAGTGTTTTGTTCTGTTGTGCATAGGGTTGCTATGAGTCAGTACCGACTCGATGGCACCTAACAACAACAGTCCTTTTCCTGCACTCTTGTACAAGCATTGTTTGGGCATCCTAGTCATTACTACTTGTGTGAGCACTTTGCAAATATAAACTTTTAAAGTGTTGTTGCTGTTGTTAGGTGTCATTGAGTTGGTTTCAACTCATAGCAACCCTATGCACAATAGAGTAAAACATCACCCAGTCCTGCACCATCCTTACAATTATTATGCTTGAGCCCATTGTTGCTGCCACTGTGTCAATCCATCTTGTTGGGAGTCTTCCTCTTTTCCCCTCACTATCCACTTTTCCAAGCATAATGTCCTTTTCCAGGGACAGCCCTTTCTGGCAACATGTCCAATGTACTTCCATCCTTACTTCTAAGGAGCACTTTTGCTGTATTTCTTCCAAGACAGATTTGTTTGCTTTTCTGGCAGTCCATGGTACTTTCACTATTCTTTTACAATACCATAATTCAAACTCATTAATTCTTCTGTGGTCTTGCTTATTCATTGTCCAACTTTCATATGCATTTGAGGCCATTGAAAATGCCATGGCTTGTGTCAGTGTACCTTAGTCCTCAAATTGACATCTTTGCTCTTTTAACTCTTTAAAGAGGTCTTTTGTGACAGATTTGTCTAATGCAATACAATGTCTGATTTATTAACTGGTGCTTCCATGAGCATTGATTGTGAATCCAAGCTAAATTAAGTCTTCAATAGTTTCACTGCTTTTCATGATTGGTCCATTTGTGAAGATTTTTGTTTTCTTTACATTGAGGTGTAGTCTTTGGTCTTTATCAGTCAGTAAGTATTTCAAGTTCTCTAATGCTTCCAAGAGGTCCAAGAGCTTAACAGAAATTTTCAAAGATCAGCTCGAGAAGATAAAACCAAATACTATAATAAAATATGCAAAGATTTGGAATTAGAAAACGAAAAGGGAAGAACACGGTCAGCATTTCTCAAGCTGGGGGAACTGAAGAAAAAA